ACACACACACACACACACACACACACACACACACACACACACACACACATGCACGCACGCATGCAAACACAATTTTGAACTATATAATGAGATATGTGTTTTGAATGATTAGTTGGTTACATAATACGTGTAGCCAATGAAGAGCGGTGACTCCTGATACAGGCTATGCTTACAACGAGGCTTCAGCCGCTATTGTTTAAGAAACCATGTTTTTAAGAAAAAGAAATCTTAGATCGAGACTACCTGCAAGAACTAAACGGGTCACAATCACGGATTCTTGTCATCAACGTACGCGGAAGCTTTTTGTTTCGCTATAGTTTTAAACCACGTAAATGGCAAATTTTGAATATATTGATGTTGACGACATCTATTTATAGAAGCGTAACAACTACCCAACCATTACATGAATTTGAGATTTTGTGAAGACAGTCAAGAACAGCCAGTTTATGGAAATGAAACTATTTTTCCGGGTTTAAATCGCGTATATTACTTTTTCAAACAAACCAACCAATCAACCGTAACTATGGAACCTGTAAAGGGCCCGAAGCGTCGGTTTGTTTGAAAAAACAAATATACGCGATTTAAATCCGGAAAAATAGTTTAATTTCCTACGTGTTTCAATCGCGAAAACCTAAGAACTCGATAACAGTTCGTTTATTTTAATTTCTCGTATTAATGTTCTCTCTGTCACTATTTTTCATTAAAAAAAAATTTTTTTTCTTAACATAAATAACATTTTCATAAACGTCTGTGACATTAGTGTAAGAATCTCTTTCCAGAACCTATTATTTTAATTTAACGCGGGACCAACTCATCCAGGGCCCTCAGTGCAAACCGTTTTGGCCCACTGAGGTCGTGAAAACTACATAATATATAATTAGAGAGATATATAAACTATTCGATTTATCCGAAGAACTGAGGCCAATGTGATTACTGTTGGGTAATTTTCCGAAAAATTGTCATTCTGATACTTATTATGTTCTACATTTAGAAATATCATTTGAAGTATTTAGCTTGAATTATAAATTAAACTTGAATTAACTAAACGCCACTTATCTGCAGAAGACAGTGGAAAAAAACCTTTTTAATGGCTCCATCGTTTTCGTTTAGTATCTTCAACTTTTGACAGATGTCAGATTTTTCTGAAAAATATGATTTATTTAAAATGGAAATTTTTCCATGACCCAACACTAAATTTGATTATAGAGTGAAGAGAGGATAAATACATAAACTCGATAATCAAATTAAGACCTATATATATGGGTTTTCAGAATTTTATATCTTATTCCGTTTCGGAAATATAAAATCGAACAACCGTCGATCTGATATCAGATGTGGCTATCCAAGAACAACGAACGCGGTATACAATGTCCTAAGAATAAGCAATCTTGCATGTAGGTCTGTCGATGAGATCGCGGTGTTTTTTAAAACCGGATAATCCTTAATAAATTGTTTTAAAATCCATAATAATCTGCTGAATTAAAACCAGAAAGTTATGACATGTGCATAGAAATACGCCATCTTCAAAAGCAACATGCCTAATTATTATTTAATTTTGCATCGATAAATTGAAAACTGAAATGATTAATCAAGTTATGAAATCAGAGATTAAACTGAATACGACCTTGGATGCGTGAAATCAGCAAATGGACTTTGTTTACTTTTATCTTCATGGACATTAAATATTCCGGATTTACTTCCACACGTATTTAATTATCTAATTAATTTGTACTGTTAAATGTGTAAATGTTTGGACATCCGGTACATAATGACGAATTTGTATAAGTTATAATTCAGGCGAATAAAAGAGAACGTCAAAGTAAGCAGGTATTCCTTACTTTGTTGACGTTTACCATGCTCGATTCCCGGACCGGGAGAAATATTTGAATGGCTTACACTTATTTCTCTCGTGAGTTTGGTGTCCATGCCACTCGCGATACAGGGTTTTACTGTGGGCCTATGAGTGTCTGCGATATTGTTATTATTGTATATGAACACATTATATATATACTTGTGTAAATATTCCGTCATAAATCAAAGAGGTATCCTAACTTGGGACCCGGAAGTGGTGGTTTTAGAATTGTTTTTGGCGTAATTATTGCAGTTATTTGTAGCAGAAATTCATTCTTTAAAATATTACCACCTCGGTTGTACTGCAAACATTAAATGATCAAGCAATTCCAAGAAATTTTCTGGCCTGGGAATAAGATCAGGCAACTCGACACTTCCAACAAACACTACGTCAACTTTTTTTTGGTTATTGTCTGTTTTTATTATAAACAGCCTTATTTATTTGCTAATATTATGCTCCCCGAATTTTGTAAAAAAAAAATCAGCAACAACAAAATAAAAACAGAAAATGACCAAAAATTTGCTATACTGTTCATTGGAGGTATCGGACTGATCCAGTACTCAAATACTTAAAAATCTGACTTACCCTTATAAAGTTATGATGATTGCTATTCGAGACGGTCAAACTAGATATAGGTGCACAGCTGCCTTTACAGAAGTACGCATGGTACCCAGCTGGTTGGATAATCCAGTCATCCCAGCCCAGCTGTTTGAAGCTCACGTACAAAGGCTGCCTGCAGCATTCAGTTGTCGTGGCCCCACATTCGATAGTGCGCGCGCGCCGCCGCTTGCCCGCATATTTTGTGTAGACGACTAGGAATGGACGGTGCTTTTCGTGGAAGGAGAGAGGAGCTCGACGTAACTGGAAGAAGAAAAAACATAACAGTAAACCCTGTATCGCGGGTGTCATGGACACACACAAATTACACTTCAGTTGACGAGAGAAACAGAAACAAGCCATACAATATATCTCGGGCCCATGAATCGTAACCGGCACCTCTGTGTGACAGTGCAGTATGGTAAACGTTCAGCCACGGAGGGAGTTCAGTATAATTATAATTAGACTGTTGACAAGTGCCATACGCCTGTATTCACCAGCACCTTTAATACCCTTCAAAACCGGAACACAGTAATAATACTCACATTATTACTTGGCGGCAGAAATAAGTAAGGTGGCAGTTATTCCCTGGACGAACTCTTTCACAAGGAGCTCTGCTGCTACCATAACATCCCTTAATTATTTGAGTGGTTGGTTGAAAGTTTATTTTTGTTAAATTTATCGTGTTTTGTAAACAGTCGTGGAACAAAAATTGTTGTTTATGATGACATCTCTATTAGGAAATGAAACTATTTTTCCGGATTTAAATCGCGTATATTTGTTTTTTCAAACAAACCGACGTTTCGGGCCCTTTACAGGTCCCATGGTCACGGTTGACTGAGGTGGTACAGTCTTCAACCAGTTATGTCTAATATTAATGCAAACCACCCTATTTTTTCCACTATAGTTACAATAGTTATTAATTAAATACCTTATTTTTAATTTTACAAAGAAAACATTCCAATTTACGCTATGTACATTAAGTTTTACAAATTATTTTATTTAATGAATTTTTATTAAGTTTAATTTATTGTTAATTAGAATAAACTAAAACATGTTAATTAGTACTGCAGTATTGTCTGTTTGGGATTTTTCATTAGAAGAAATACTGGATCCCAAACTGGTGGTACGGAGAAACCATCTTCCCTGTTGAAATTAGGATGTTTTTTTATTGCAATGGCCTCTCGCAGCATCCTGGTTAGATAACGGACTTCTTTTGCGAGGACCTAGGGTTTGTCAAACTTCATTAAATGTGTAGGTTTATCCATGACATGCTCGCAGACTGCAGACTTGTTTACGCGACGGTGTTTGACATCAGCTATATGTTCTTTGACGCGGGTACAAATACTTCGCTTTGTTTGTCCAATATAAGAGAGACCGCACTCACAGTCAAGCTTGTAAACTCCTGCATCCTGTAAGGGGATGTTACATTTCACGATATCTCTATTGCTAATGACTGTTTTTGCTGGTATGCAGTAAAGTGCGATGTCACACAGTAATCATTCTCAAAAGATTTATAAGCAGTGGAGCTCCTTGTCAAAGAATACGTCCGGGGAATTACTGTCACCTTACCTGTTTCTGCCACCAAGCGGTAACGTGAGCTTTATGGCTGTAAGGTAAAACTACAGACACTTAAGACTTGTCATCTTTATGTCTAAGGGTGACGAGCGCAGTGACAGAGCTCCTCAGGTCTTTGCGATTTAAAGCTCTACTGCCTGATACTGGATAATCAATCTAATACAAAAGACAAAGATACTAACCTGGCAAGTTCTACAAGCGACATGCAAAGTATGCAGTCTCTCTCTCTCCTCCAGCCAAACCCTAACCGCCCAGGCCAGCTCGACCCGCACCCACCCTTCTCCTATGAAAGTCTCCTTAATGGCGATGGGTTTCGTCTTTTTGAACTGCTGCTGATTATCCCAGTGAGCTGCTTCAGATATTACAAAGGTTTGGTTGTATTCATCCATTGGATCGCGTTCCTGGAAATAATAGAAACAGATTGGTAATGAAGTCTCTTCGGATCTAATTCACGTGTATTTGTTTTTTGAAACAAATAAACGTTTCGGGCTCTTTCTAGTGTGGTCATGGCTGACTGAGTTGGTAACATATTTGACGCACAGACAAACATGCAAACAATGACAAATATAACTGTCCACACATGGAGCCAAATAAGGGGTTTAAAATAATATTACCGTAGTGTGCCATAGTGTGGTCTACTTGCATATTTGCCTCGTTGGTTCCTTTGATGAAGACTCCAGGTGTACCCTGATATTGTTGCACGAATTGCAATGACATAATCTCAGTAGAGAGTACTAAAAAAACTGACCTCAAAAGTAAGTGGAATTACGTCTATTTGCTAAGTTTTATTGAAATATCCCCTAGTTCGCCACTATACAGGACTTGACACTGGAGATAATAAAATCGGTTCTCAGTACTCAAAGTATATTGAGAGAAAAACGCCTTGAATTGGAGAAATAGCAAAATCAACCATTAAAGTAATTGCTCCTAAATTAAAGTTAAGCGCTATTTATAAAAATGAATCTTCATGCGTGAACAGCCACCCTTCGAGATGGATGATTTTCTTCAAAATGAAATGGGACCACTATGGAAGTAGCCCCTTTCCAACAAAAATGAATCTTGAAAATCGGTTCACAAATACCGGAGTTATCGTGTAACATACATACACAAAAAAGAACATACAGACGAATTGAGAACCTCCTTCTTTTTTAAAACAGCTTTTAGCATAAAAAACAACTGTTAAAATCACGCAGCTTGTCACACAAGAACAAGAAACATCTAATTAAAGAGCACATTTGGAGTATTGCACTTTATGGATGTGAAATATGGACACTGACACAAAGAGATGGGGTAAGATTAGAAGCTTTTGACATGTGGTGCTGGAGGAGGATGAGGGGTGTAACTTGGATAGAAAAGAAAACCAATGAGGAAGTAATAAGAATAGTAAACGAGAAAAGAACGATCCTGAATACTATAGAGTATAGAGGCGGGAAAATAATTGGACATTTGAAACGACACGACAACTTCTTTAAGACCATTTTGGAGGGAAAGATCGAGGGGAAGAGGGGAAAAAGTCGATCTAGGCGCAGTTACATAGACCAAATAAAGGAAAAGGCCGGTGTCGTGTTATATAAGGAGGTCAAGGAGCTGGCTTGTAGGAGAGACGACTGGAAGAGGCTCCACCGACGAGAGCATAACTCTTAAGTTGCTGATATTGATGGTTCCTTTGACGGGCGTCGAGAAATCGACCAGCGCGCGGTAACGCGAGTTTGCCGAATAGGAAAACAAGACAAATACACACGTGCTATCTGCATATAATGATTGTTTGACGAATATATTAAATATGCGGAAAAGCAGTACCTACTGCCACCATAATATCAAACCACAAACCACCCTGTTTTGAATTATAGTTACCAAAGTTATTCATTTAATATACAAAGAACATTGCAATATTTATTTCATATAATGATGGTTTTTGGATTACACCAGGACTCTTTGCCGGTTAGCCGTTTAGCCCCGGTCTGGTAAACAGTCGCTGGTTCTAACCTGCCAGATCGAAGGAATTATTCTTAGTCTTTTTCGATCTTTGTATCAAAAACACAAAGAACATTCCTATTTACAAAGAGAAAATGGAGGACTGAGTTCAAATTTGCGGAACTCCGCGAACGTTGGCGCACGTACCATGCAAACCAAGTACTTCTACTGTATTTGTATTTGTTTTAACCTCTTACGGGATCTAGTTAAATACCTTGTAAAACCACAGCTCGACAACGGTGACCTCAGTAGGCTCCACATCAGGCGGTAGTTCGAACTGTATACAGGTGAACGGATACCGCCCCGATGTCAAACATTCGCCTGGAACAAACAGTCGCAAAGTCTTTTAATCTGTTGAGATAGTTTTATTTAGTATTTGTATAACCCGACATCATACAGCATATGACCTTCAGAAAAAAAATGTAAATGTTTATTTGTGGTAAACAAATAAGACCATAAAAGAAAAAAGAAAGAAAATTGAAGAAAAAAATTTTAACATCAGACATATTTCACTGGGTTCGAACCAGCAATTGTTGTCACACCGGGGCCACTGTATATAAATTATGGTACTCAAAACATCATGTATTCAATAATAGTACATTTTTTTATCGAGAGACTAAAACGAGCCAATATATATCGAGGTGGTTAGACGTGGTCTCTATTATTCCGAGGCTTTATATTGGCCTAGTCCTGTGGTGAAAATTATACTTTTCACTTCGGTTGCAAGAAAAAATGATCAATTAAGTACGAAAACCGATTTAAGTGCTACATTCAATAACGCGGGAAAATAATATGGCGAACCAGGCGTAGTCTTTTTGTCATAAACTAGTGCAAGTACTGGAGATTGAATTCGTCTAAGTTACTCGAAGTCATCGAGTACATAACAAGTAATAGAGACGAAATAAAGGCCATCCATCCCTGGAAACTCTTCAGGTAAATGGTCCTTATATCTATTTTAAATATCAACTCTCGTTTGCGCTGACATCACAAATTAGAAAGCTGAAATACTGACTGATCCAAAAATATTCTGTATTTATTGTAATAAAGATAAACAAGTTAAACAGGTCATTTTAAAATGAAACAATTGACGACACCCGTCAATTGTTTCGAATTCGGGCTGGCTATTCGGAGCGCAGTTGTCACCGTAATGATTTGGCAGAACAGTTTTGAAACAAATTTAATGACATTTCGTCTCTATTTCTGGTTAAGTACTCGATGGGATTGTATCATGTACTTTACGCCCGCTACGTAAGACTATAATAACATACTTTTACGGCATGTGAAGTGAAAAGTAAATATTACATTTTATCGTCAATATTTCTTTGTGTGTTAAAGTGATTACCAAGTTTCATTTTTTTTAAATTTAACCACATTTATTTCCTGTCCATTTTAAACAGAATAGATATGCATCTGTATAGGCTGACCCCACGTTAAGTGGACCAAGGATCGACCCAAAAGGCCGTTCGCAGAGATAAATACCAGTAAACATTGTTACGTTGGGTACCACACGTTATCGGGACCTTTTTACTATCTCAGCTAAGGTGAACACCCTGGAGCATTGTAGTTCCGTTTCAACGTGATAAAGAATTATAAACATTGAGAACAATTGTGGAATCACTGTAGTATACACGCATTCCTCAATTTCGTTGCGAACCGAAATGGCAGTGGCTTAAAACCCAGTCAATCCACCCGGGTTTTAACTCATTTCTGTTCAAAATTGTGGGCAGAAACGGCGAACGCAATTTGGTATCATTCCATACATAATACCAGAAATCATATAAATACTACAAATTTCTGCGTAAACAATATTTTTTACAGGAAAAACAAGCAACTCCACCCAATAACCACCTTGCAATTCTGTGAATTCTCAATACTAAGGATTAACATTACGGTTCGATTTTCTAACCGACTTCAAAAAAGGTGGAATTTTACAATTCCACTGTATTTTTTTATGTATGTTACGCGATGTCTCCGATATTTGAAAACCGGTTTTGATGATTCTTTTTTGTTGGAAAGATACCTCAGTATTGGTCTCATTTAAATTTGAGAAAATATTCCACCTCTAAGGGTGGCAAACTATGGGATGAGTCCGGTTTCGCGTTCCAGTAACCGATTTCAATAAAACTTGGGAATTAGATGTAACACCGCGAACTTTTGAAGTCGGTTTTTCTTATAGAAAAAAGTTATAATTATGAAAGTTTTTTCATTTTTATAGTGAACACGGAAGAAACAAGTACCTGATTTTATTACTATTGTTCTTCAATCGTCGCAGATTATACTGAGCTCCACTTAGCTGTCTTGCCACGTCCATGTAACCAGAATAAAAAACTACTGCTGATGTAGTAAATTTATAATAGGTGTAGATGTCAAAGATCGTCCAGGGATGTGCTGTAAGATCTTTGCGATTTAAAATGGTGTGTGGCATTGCAACAGCTTACCATAACCTTTCAAAAAACAATCTTATTTCAATGTAAGCTCAAAGTAAGCTTATTATAATACTACTCATTATTCGTACCATGACAAACCTTTCAATCAAGTAATGTATTATTGCTAAAGTGATTGATAGAACGAATGATATCCCATTATTGTCTATTCCTCACTAAAAATAGGATAGAAATAACTGTATAATGCCATATCTTTCTTTTTTCATGTTACGATTCGTCTTATATCGTAGTATAATGTTAAAGTACTTAATATTATTTACATTCAGAAAATTTTAACTGCCAAAAAGAAGAAAATTATGTAATAACGAAATCTATTAAAATTACGTTGTTTTCAATTATTCTTCCGTATTTTCATGAAAAAAAAATGCAACAAGCTGAGTTTTGACTGTCGCGTTGTGAATTCGGAATTATAGTCTAGTGTCAACTGTTAATGGCGCCAAGGAGTATATAGATGTCGCTGTCGTAATTTTACGAAATAAACATCGCCTATTTTTATGTAACGAGAAATTATTCCCTATGTACTATTAAATAAAAAAAATAACAAATTATTAAAGAGATTTATGTGAATAAATAAAACTCAACTTAACTTACAAATCAACATTTAGACAATAAATTCGAACATAATATTGTTTCCACTGCGTCCGATTTTAAGATTGCTAAATTTGACATAAGAACAATATTACCTTTAATGTTAAAGTCGCGTCATAGTACGAACTGCGTGAATGAATAGTCACAAAGCTGCCAATAAAACATCATAGTTTTAACATTATAATAAGCTTGCGTACGAAATGTCTTTGTAAGGTTTGAAGTAATATTGCTTGAAGAGGTTGTGGTAGGCCCCAGGTTCACCAGGTGCACGACTTGTTCGCTTCAACATTTGTGTCATAATAAAAAAGAGCAAATCATTAAATGTATTCGTTTGATAATGACATCGACGTGCAGGTATCCCCGTCAATACTTCGTTCGATAAAGATTTATAATTAGTTATGACATGCAGTAGTCACTCTATGTTATCTATTGTTTACTACATTTTTTACCCAATTTCCGTGTTGTGGTAGGTACCAAGAATGTTTGTTTGTAATATATATACAGTGCTACTACTTGCTACGTTCCGGTTTTGAAGGATCTGGTGAAATTATAGGCACTTTTCAACATAGGTCTGTCTCAGGGGGGCAGTGGCAGTGCCCGCCAGATGTTCGCGATTTAAAGGTATGAGTGACACTGTAACAGTTAATTACGCGCACCACAATTAGAAATCAAAACTTATTTTCGATTTTTCTACTCCTGTCCAGTCAAAGGTTGCATCAGCAGACCGACAAAATAAGTTATGCGTTCGGAGAACATAGCCAATTGTTTGGCTTTTCTGCTAACAACTGATCCAGATTGTAATCAAGTATCGATCTTGTCCCTAGTGGTGACATCCGTCTGTTTTTGGTGGAGTCAGGGTGTAACGCGCGGCCTGCTAGTAAAGCTTAAATGTGTCCCGCAGCTTTTATTAATAATAAAAGTTACTCGAGATAAGGCGTGGCGTGCTGTGAAAAAAACGCGTGTCCCGCTGGCAACCCACATGGCCTGCTACAAAAGTTACTAAAGATCAGTCGTGGCGTGCTGTGAAAAATAATGAGTGCCCCGCGCGCCGCCCACACTACAAAAGTTCTTTAAGATTAGGCGCCTGCTTCAGAAAAATCGTTTGTTCTATGGCGCTGAGAGTGTTAAAACCGATGGAACAAATATTGTTCTTTACTTATTTAGTAATATGCTAGAAATTGTTATTATTTTACAAATAAAAATAACCCTGTGTTGTTATGTATGAATAAGCTAACAAAGGTTACACATAACATTTATTTTAAGAAATTATAGTAATTAATCAAAAAATCACAAATAATACATCAGCCTAATTAAATGTGTTTACTTATTTATCTTCCTGCTATTTCGACCTAACTTTGATAACAGTTTACAATGAAAAAAATATAAAAAACGGTCTTTGATCCTATTGACAGCAAGAGATTGAAAACAAGACTGTATAATGTTTACCGTTATTGCCAACTGCGTTTTAATACAATGGCAGTTTTAATTAATTTCAAACGTAAATTAATTTCAATGATAAGGTGTCATTGTAAACATTTGATAAATGCATGAGGTTACATGTTACATTTACTTATGACGTGTCATGTTTACAGTTCAACTACGGTGTACGTTAGTTAATTAAAAGAAAGGTCAGTTTTTAACGGTCTTCAAAAAAAGGAGGAGATTTTCAATTCGACTGTATCCTTTAATGTGCTTCCATGATCAGCCCATATCAATGTGCTAATGGCGATATCAAAATTCTGAAGTTTTGGCGGTATCCGCTCACGCGATGCGCTCCTCCTACCGCAAAATCGCGGCTGTTTGTTTTCGTAAATTAGAAAAGGATTCAGTTTAAATACAAGTTTTTACAAATAAAAATTATTATTCTGCATTGCTATATAAATACCCTCCGTACTACCAACAAAAACATCTCAAATAAAATGCA